CCCCAAAACCCCAAAACCCCAAAACCCCAAAACCCCAAAACCCCAAAACCCCAAAACCCCAATATTTTATTTAGTTAAATAAATATTTATATAAATTTGATTTAAATTCATGATGATGTATGAAAACGAAGAGAGTATATATAACCTTATCCCTCCTGAAGAATATAAAGCACCAAAATCAAAATTATATAAGTCAAAACATAACCCAAAGGTAGTTCCTACAGGTTCAACTTTCTGCTTGACAACAACTTCGAAGCCTGGAGTTGCTAATCTAAACGGAGAGGTTGCTCCAGAAGGGTCTAATCATCATAACGTTGCAAGTACAGGCCTCTGGGGTAAGAAGCTCGGAGACAGCAAAGCCAACCCCACCACTTTTATGAAGAAAGGCCAAGGCACCATGAGGGCCACCGGCCTCGTCCCCACCAAGACCGATTATAAAAAGAGAGGCTCCAAAAGGGCTCCCGTCCCCAAGAAAGACGAAAAGCCGATCATGGGACTCACTTCGGATAAGAACTACATTGTGGCGAATGCAGTGGAGAACATTCTGGCTGCACCCAAAGTCAAGGATAATAAAGGCAGAGATTACACCAAGAAGAAGGACTACGGTAAAACTCCGAAATACCTCCAGAAGATCAAAAACGAGATCGACCAGGAGTTCGAGTTGGTCCGTGAAATGCAGATGGAAGAAGACGCCCAGAGAGACAGGGACAAGTTCTTGCTGCCGGACGACGAGAGAGCAGAACTCATCAAGGCGTTGAAGAAGAAGTGGGAGGTTGTCCACAAGCAATACCAAGAGATCACCCATGTGCAGAAGATTGACACAGTTGGACTCAGAAGAAAGAAAGAAAACTGTGAGCAAGAGTTAAGACAATTAGAAAAAGACATAGAGAAATTGTCAAAGAAATTCATCTTCGTTGATACCACGTATGGAGATTATTACTAAGATTTGACAAGAATTTTCGAAAGTATTATTCAATGAAGGAGGTAGAAATAGGGGTTTTGGGGTTTTGGGGTTTTGGGGTTTTGGGGTTTTGGGG